ACGACCATTACATTGAGGATTAGGAAGGATCGAAGAAGTTTTTCCAGGCGACTATGGGATAGTAAGAGTGGCATCAGTCTGAATTGGAGACACCCTAGTTAAGCGACCGGTGGTCAAACTTTGTCATTTACCTTTTCAATAACTATACTGTGAGAAGGCATTCAAATTTCCAAAATAGTGAATCATTTTACTATCAACCGATATCAAGGAATACAGGGTTATAAAAGGTATCCCTTTAGACTGGGGAATATGTTTGCGCCAGAATCTGTTAGATGTCGCCAGAGAATATTTTTAATATTCAGACAACACTTTTTCTCTGGCAAACCTCAAAGATTTGGATGTAATAGCTGATCTGACGGGTGAACAAGCTCTCTCGCGTTGTCTGGTCACGGACACCGTTTTACTTGTACTTTCCATATGAGTTTTTGTGATATATTTTGATCATTACTTATTACTTAATGAAATAAATACCTTTTAATCAGTGCAAGTGTTACTTATTTGTGTTTTGAAGTTCATTTCTTCCTCAGAATCCGAATTTAAAGCGAACTGAGATATCCGAACTTGAAGCCGCCATCCGACTGGACCGCCGAGCACGTAGAGAACGTCGAATATTTTACTTAATATATTCAATAATATCAAATCCTCGGAATAGTTATTGAGTCAAATTCAATTAGCTATTCCGAAAGGGTCTAACCAACCCCCATTCGTAACAAGTATAACATTCTTACCGTTCCTAACATATTCCTACTTATTACACTTCTCTTTATGAAAAAAAATCCCCAGTATTTTAATTTATCTTCCATGTCTAATTCCCATTATGTCACAAGGAATAGAACTATCAAAGGATCGACTTTTAAGCTTAATACTACTTTTAATTCAATTGATGGTTTTGGTATTCAACTGTTCAATTTATTATAATACTTTTACAAATACGCCAACATAGCAATCATAAATTCCACAACGTTTTGATTAATTTACTATAAGCCAACAGTTTTTATGACATTTCTGAATATATTAAGTTTGACTTCAAGAAATACAGTGGTACATCCTCTTCATATTATAAATATCTATTGTTACTAATTATATGTGATATCTTACAAATACAGCAATTTTTGGCTATAACTGAGTATTACTTAGCTGTGAAATATTTTTCTTCGTCTCTGATACTGCCCTTTTTTTCTAGAAAAGCTTCTAAACTTTTTAATAATTTTTGCGAATTAATGGATATACAGGACCTCAACTTTTGAAGATGCTCTAAACGAAGACGTTCTTCATAAAATCAAGACACAAAATTAAATTAGTTTAGCACTCCTTTCTTCGTATTTTATATTTGGTTGTTTTGTTATTTAATTGTAAAATTGTAAATTGTATATCTAATAAATCTAAATCTATAAAAAAAAACAGTAAAGTTTAGCATCGTTCAAAAACAATATTTAAAAGTAGAGGGGAAAAGATGTATAACCAGCTATAACCATGATTCTTATGACTTTGCTATCGGGAGATAAACGGTAATCTTTGAAAATCCATGACGAAAGTATTTCCTTTTGTTGTTAGTTTTTTGGGTTGTGAGCACTGTGATTTAGTTCATGAGACCTTAATATAAATATTAACTATACGCTATTTAATTGTTTTCTAAAATGTAATGTTAATTTTGAGTGAGATTCAACAGTTTTCTTTATATAACCACTCTAAAAACTTACATCTGTGTGGGGCAAAAATGACCAACTGAACATTGGCCATGGCTAAAGACTAAAAATGACTTGGATTGAATTATACCATATTTTTATAGAAAGTGTATAAAACTTCCAATTTGATGGTATCAATAGAAAATGTATGAATGAATATTGTTATTATGAATTATATAATTCATTACTCTACAAGTAGACTTTGGGGTTTATTGTGTTTATAATAGCTCATTGTCTGTACTATTCAAACAACACATATCCTTACACTCCTAAAATAAAGTCTTTTGTTATTCTCTACAAATTGTTTAAAAACACTTTACTTATCAAAACAACATTTGCCGGGTCAGCTAGTATATATATATATATATACATATATATATATATATATATATATATATATAAATCTCGTGTCACGATGTTGGTTCGCGATGGACGCCCAAACTACTGGACCGATCTTAAATTTTATTGGCTCATCGTGTGTATATATATCCAACTTAGGTTATAGGAAATTTTGAAAAGTAAATTTAAAATATAAATACATAATTTTTATAAATTTCAAAAAATTTTGACAGATAATGACCAAAAAAAAACAAAACACTAAAATGACAAATGTCAAAATTTATGAAAAATTCGAGAAAAAAAGATTAACGTTTTTGGAAAAAAAAATTTGACAGTTCAAAAAATATAATTCAAGAACATACATATTATAGGTATATCCAACATTTATATCCAAATTAGATGCAATGCTATATTCAAAATCACTGTTTATAGTTTTAAATCTAATTAAAAATCAATGTTTATAATTTTAAATAAAAGTTGACATAAAAAAAATGTGAAATGACATTTGTCAATTTTTATAAAAATTATTAGATAAATTGATTTATAATTTATATTTATTTGATTTGCTTACGAAATTGGTTCGGATACCAAAACTTCCTCAAAACATTATAGATCACAAAAAAGCGACATATTAAATTTAACATTAATAATAAACAAAATTTTGACAGTCAAGAAAAATTGAATTTTTAACGACTTCAATAAGAAACAAATACATTAATTATTCCAAGTTTTGTTATAGGCAATATTGTAGATACATTATTGAAAAATATATTATATTAAATTTCGACCAAGAAGGATATATTTATTTAGTTTTATATTTTTTATAAATTTCCATAAATTTTGACAGAAATTTACTAAAAAAAGACAAAACACTAAAACGACAAATGTCAATATTTATGGAAACTTCGAGAAAAAACGATTTATGATTTTTGAAAAAAAAATGACAATTCTAAAAATATATTATTTTTACTAATTGAAAAAGAACAGATATATTATAATATATCCAACAGCTATATCCAAATTAGGCAAAATGCTATATTCAAAATAATAGAAATATATAATGTTTATAGATTTAAATAAATTTTGATAGTTGTAAACTAAAAAAAAAGTTAAATGTCATTTATCAATATCTATGGAAAGTATTAGATGAATAAATTTATAATTTATATTTAATTGGTTTGCTTAACATATTAGTTCGGATACTAACACGTCCTCAAAACATAATAGATCAGAATGAAAAAGCGACATATTAAATTTAACTTTAATCATAAACAAAATTTTGACAGGTCAAAAGAATTAATGTTTTTAACGAATTCAAATAGGAACAAATACATTAATTATTCCAACTTATATTATAGGCAATACTACAAATCACATTTAAGATACAAAATAATAAAATTTATCAAATTTAAATAAATTTGGGCGGTTACGAATTCAAAACAAATGCCGAAAATGACGTTTGTTAATATTCCGGGAAATTTATGAATAAATTGATTTATGATTAAGATTTAATTTGCTTAAGTTGTTCATTCAGGTAAACATCACAAAATTAATATAAATCATGATTGAAAACTGAATATTATATCATATCATATTAAATTTCGAAGTGCCAAAAATCAAACTCAATCAGATTTGGACTCGAATTTCTCAGATATATCCTTCTTGGTCGAAATTTAATATAACATATTTTTCAATAATGTATCTACAATATTGCCTATAACAAAACTTGGAATAATTAATGTATTTGTTTCTTATTGAAGTCGTTAAAAATTCAATTTTTCTTGACTGTCAAAATTTTGTTTATTATTAATGTTAAATTTAATATGTCGCTTTTTTGTGATCTATAATGTTTTGAGGAAGTTTTGGTATCCGAACTAATTTCGTAAGCAAGTCAAATAAATATAAATTATAAATCTATTTATCTAATAATTTTTATAAAAATTGACAAATGTCATTTCACATTTTTTTTATGTCAACTTTTATTTAAAATTATAAACATTGATTTTTAATTAGATTTAAAACTATAAACAGTGATTTTGAATATAGCATTGCATCTAATTTGGATATAAATGTTGGATATACCTATAATATGTATGTTTTTGAATTATATTTTTTGAACTGTCAAATTTTTTTTTCCAAAAACGTTAATCTTTTTTTCTTTGCTTTTTTTTTGGTCATTTTCTGTCAAATTTTTTTGAAATTTATAAAAATTATGTATTTATATTTTAAATTTACTTTTCAAAATTTTCTATAACCTAAGTTGGATATATATACACACGATGAGCCAATAAAATTTAAAATCGGTCCAGTAGTTTGGGCGTCCATCGCGAACCAACATCGTGACACGAGATTTATATATATATATATATATATATATATATATATATATAGATATATGTAATGATTATTCTTGTCCTCCAAATGATGTTTTTGTCATTGGATCTTCCGATACTGCTGGAGCTGCCTTCTTTTTATTCAGTTCAGTTTTTATTCAGTATAATTTAATCAGTTCTTTATTTTTTCAATACAAATAAAATATTTTTTAAATAATTGGATGCTCAATGTTCTCTAAAACTGATTTGATAAGCTTGCACTTTTTGCCCCATAACTTCAAAACGACTTGTCTTGCCAAAAACTAATCAGCACGCTCCCCATCAATACGAATTGAATGTTTTTTTGAATTATCCGAATCGGTTGGCTGGTGTTCCCGAAATTATCGACGAAAATTTGTATCAGCGCACACGCACATACAAATAAACAAACACCCACATATACATATTTTTTTTCTGTTCAGCCAAAATGTTCAGAAACCTTTGAAAGATATGCAAAAATATATTTGACTACTATAACTTACCTTATGGGAAGTTTATTATAATAATACGTTGAAATTTGTATATTAAAATATAATTTGCGAAACTTGTAATTTTCCTAATAATTTGTGATCGACGGATTTGAAAATTTGATTTTCCTTTTCAGAGACGGGTCAGCTCAGGCGATACCCGAAGAAAACCCGAGCTTAGCGGGTGATGACGAACCTAGCAAACCACCTGTGAAATACGGCGAAGTTGTCATTCTTGGGTAAGTCTAAAACACTTAAATAAAATAGCTTTGTCAGCTTTGTAAATGTTTAACTCATATTGAAATTTAAATCCGTGTAAAATTTAATAATGATTATATCAATAGAAAACTGTAGATGCAGTTCTTGATATACGAAGTCATCTAATAGTTATATAAAATTCAAATATTTGTTAGATACTAATACAATGCTTTCATTTGTAGTTACTCCTTGATGTTATAATGGAATTATAGGCATATTAATGTCATTTACCTTTTCTAAACGTTGTTTTGACATTTTATTATTTGGAAATATAACATTGTTGAAAGAATGATATGATCTTAAAGCTTATGGGTTGATATACTATCGATGTACAATTCAAACTAAACTAGTTCGTATTGGTGTTTTGCCTTGAGGCAAGTTACATGAACTTCACGATATGTGTAAATAATGGACTAAATCAATAACTAGTTGGTATTGGTATTTTGCCTTGATGCATGTTACATGAACTTGCCGATATGTGTAAATAATTTTTGAATATTGAACTTTGACGAATTTTTGAAGTTGAACGAGTTGTCATAGGACCGTAATATTTTAGTATGATCTATAAGACTATGGTATCTACTAGTGATGTGCCGACTCGAAAATTTCCTGATTCGAATGATTCGAATCAGAAAAAAACCTGATTCGAATCAATTCGAATCAAGTTCATATATGAACAATTATAATTTAAGAGAAGAAATAATATCATTTTAATAATTTTATAAGTGAAATAATTAATTTAGTAAGCAATTAATTCCAAAAAGTGCAGAGATGAATACATTTATATTATATACGATCACTAAAGCATATAAAACAATATTCCTAATCTTACGTTGAACAAATGCATGTGTATATTATTGATTGTTTAGATCTAATCTAAACAGGGGGCTGAATCTAACGTCTTACGAATGACTTAAAATTCAATCCACTACTGTAAAGATTGATATTATTTCATTTGTGTGAATTTGCCATTACTTGCATAATTAAAATATGATAATTTTGTATGTGTATAAAACTCGTTGTGTAGTTTATTTTGATAATAATTAAAATCTAAATCGCGTATTTATTATCTAAATGAGTTTTTGATATTTCATGAACAAATTTGCTCTCAGCGCTTAGTCAAAAATAAACAAACACTCAAGACCCATACGCACAGCTTCTTGATAAGTCGATACGCTAAACACGGACACATGTTTCGAACTCAAGTCTGTATGATTCAGTTTGAGTCATATGAACTCGGATAAATTCATAACGACTTGAAGTCGGGATGAGTCGGTTTGAGTCTTAGGAACTCGGATCAATTCATATCGACTTGAAGTCGAAATAAGTCGGTTTGAGTCTTAGGAACTCGGATAAATTCATAGCGACTTGAAGTCGAAATAAGTCGGTTTGAGTCTTAGGAACTCGGATAAATTCATAGCGACTTGAAGTCGAAATAAGTCGGTTTGAGTCATAGGAACTCGGATGAATTCATATCGACTTGAAGACAATGAATGCGGTTAAAGCATAGACCTTATACAATTTCATGGACTGCTAATCCCCATACATTTCTCAAGTAAAAAAGTGTCAAAAGATGTTCTATGGTATGAGGGCAAACGAGGGTAGTTTTGCGGCCGAGATATGTCAAACTCGATCACTTGAACGTCAAATGAAAGTCCTTGTGTTCGAAATTGTTGGGAAAATATTATATAATATACAATTTATGTTAAACTAATGAATGTAATGAATTATTTATGTATTTATTTATTTATTTTAGTTATACAAAGTGTTTAAGAAAAATAAAAAAAAAATTAAAAAAATATTTTACGTATTATAAAATTCACTGAAAATAAGAACAGTTGGCTAGAGCTATTATGGGAAATTAGAAAGCAATAATGAAATATTTGTTTAAATGCGATATATTTGTTATTGATGTTTAAAAAGCACAATTTTTGTGTGAAAGTGGCGTACATATTTATCAACTTTGCTTTTTTATGTTTTTCATGGTGCATTCTAATTGTTAAATACATTTTTGCGACAAAGTTGATAAGGTCATGATAGTGCTGGACAAATTGCTGGAAATGGCTTGATCTAAAAAAATGTGCAAGTCCCAAGTCATTCAACTTTCGGAGAATCGTGCTTTCATATGAACTTTTGTACATTAAATTTAAAGAATTTCGAATTTGGGTTTCTATATATAAACATAATTTAAACATTGCATTGGAAGGATATGAAAGATATCCTCGATTTTTTATATCGATGAATGTCGAATTTCCCGGAATACTTGCGAAGCATTCAGAACAGGTTTTACTGCAATCAGGAACTTTACCACAGACCAAACACATTTTAGAAGACATTTTACTTTTAACAATTTTATAACAGGTATATTTTTATCCTCTTTTAGTTTAAAAACCCGAGCGATCAAACATCACGTGAACCCAAGTAACTGTAAAATTTAAGCGATCGAGTGCATTCGAATAATCTCGGTAAAGCTCGTGTTCGTATTTGACATATCTCGGCCGCAAAATTACCCTCGTATGCCCTCATACCATAGAACATCTTTTGACACTTTTTATGCGCTCAACTAGCAGTCCATGTATTGTATAAGGTCTATGGGTTAAAGTCATAAAAATTGGAGTCGGGTGATACATTTAAGCGTATTAAAGCCGGGTGTCTCGCATGATTTAATTCAAGATTTATTTTTTATATTTATTATTATTATTTTTTATATTTATTATTATTATTATTTATATTATTATAATATTGAATTAAATTAAAACATTTTTTTTATATTTATGAAAATTTGTGTTCATACATGCACACAGTAAATATTTCGCGGCTTGATACGAGTTGATTCGAATCAAGTAAAATCTGATTCGAATCAAGTCGTTAAAGGCTTGATTCGAATGATTCGAATCACTTGATTCGACTTGGCACATCACTAGTATCTACCGTCATAAAAATAATAATAATAAAAATCGTCGAAAAAAAAATTATTTACACTTTATTACAAGAAAAAGGCCCGGCTGATCTTTACGAAAAACTAATCAGCACGATTCCCAAACAATATTTTTCGAACGGTTTCTGAATTTTCAAAATGGATTCAGAATTGCGGGCTAAAACGCGGACGAATTTTTTTTCACTTTTCTGCGATTTACGAAGAAACGGTTCGGCCGATCGTAGCGCAAAACAGACAAACGTTAGTCCTCATTGAGATACATCGAATGGCTTTTAAATTTTTGAAATCGGTCCAGCCGCTTTTGAGAAAACATCGATTTTCGGCAAAAAATCTGTTCGCACACACACACATACTTTTGCCAAGTTTGGTCCCATTCGATTCAGAATGGCTTGAAACGTCGAGAAGTTAATAATAATCTAGTGGGGCGCATGGCATCGTGCCTTAAGGCAAATTGCTGGAACTTCCCGTACCGTAACGAAATGTTCGATGAATATTAAATGTTTTCCAATTGATTATTATAAATACTGTAACATTTGTCTAATATTTATTTATAAGAATTATATAACCTGAATTACAAAGTTAAAGTTATTTATTTAAAGTATATAAGTGAGCTTTAAAACTTTAGCCAGAATTAAAATTGAAATCTGAATTATTTTCAATATACAAAAAAAAAATACATTTTTTTCCAAAAGCAATTGTTTTGTCAACACAAGTATAAAGTTTTTTGAATCATTCAATTCGGATGCTTATTTCTTTCAAAAACTACCATTTTTTGTATATTTAGCTCTGTATCTTCGAAATGGTTTGGCCTGCTTTTGCCAAAAACTATTAATAACCATTTCTGCCAATCATTGCTAATTGAATATTTTTTAGATCATTCAAATCGGATGCTCCGTTCTCGCAAAAACTCGATTTTTATTTTCTGCACTCTTTGCTCTTTATCTCCGTAACGGCTGGATCTGCCTTTGCCAAAAACTAATAAGCACATCTCCCTATCAATAGGAATCGAATGTTTTTTGAACCATTCAAATCGGTTGATCGGTGCGCCCGAAAACGTGAACGATTGTTTTATATCCATTTACGAAGTCTCTTCAGACTCTAAATATGCAACAATGTTATATGCTGCATCAAATTTCAAATTATAGGTTTATACATAATCAATAAATAGATTTGTTTCATTATTTTTGAACAGCAATTTGAACTTAAGAGTTCTGTACGCTGTTGTGTTGATTTGATTTAGTACGGCACAGTTTCTAGTCGTTTCTATAGATGGCAACCCAAACAGTTGTCCCATCTCTGTGTGATAAATTATTACTACAATTTCTATAATAGGGCGAACATTTATTGATGCAGCAATGTCAGATCAGGGCACTTGATATTATATTGCTATCTGTATTTCCATGTGAAAACCGTCATCACTTTTTCTTGATAAAAAGGCTTTTGATTCATATCCAGTTGTTCTAATCACTATACCTACAAACGAGCCCCAATAAATAAAGATAATAGTAAAATATAATTGCCAAAACATAGTCAAACTACATAAATATCAGTTTAGGCGGTAAATAATAATAAAATAATAATAAATGGTGGTCTGCCCGAAGGCAGGTCCATGATGTGAGAGCCACCACAACAAATGATTTTCTTGCCCTTTATCCCCCCCCCCTTTATTTCACGTATTTTCCTTTCCAAACTTTTGTTTCCATGCTTCTTGATCGTGTGCTTCGGCTTTCAGTTCCCTGTATTTTCTCTTCTCGCGTAAGTCGTCAATCGTCTGCATTCTTCTTCTTCCCCTTCCTTTTGTTCCTTCTATTTTACCCTCGACGACGTCGTGTAGGAGGCATTCTTTTTGCAAAAGAGGTCCGATCCAGTTTCCTTTCCTTCTGAGAATTGTGCTCAGTAGAGTCCTTTCTTCGCCCACTCTTCTCAGGACTTCTTCATTTGTTACTTTGTCTGTCCACTTTATCTTTTCCATTCGCCTCCAGCACCACATTTCAAAGCTCTCGAGGTAGTTTTTATCGGCCTTTCTCAGAGTCTTTTCTCAGGCGGTAAATATGTAACCAAAAGAAAAATACATTAAACTGTTGGTATATATTATATTTTTAATAAATGAACCTACAAGACGATTTTCTGAACACAGGATATTTTACTAGTAAGAACATTTACATTATCATAAGCGCAATATCTTTTTCTATTTTCATTGCATTTTTTTAAAAAAATAGTTATTTATAACGCTGTATGATAACATAAATTTTATTCAAGATTTTATAACTTCTTTATAGTTACAACGGTTTTTTACCGCAAGGGGATCGTGGCAGGCGGCGGAGTAAATTCGTATTTCAGCGTCGGCCCACTGCCAATGGCGTCAGAAGAGCGAAGCATTATGAAGTCAGATCACCCCAAACGTCCAGAGCCATTATGGACACTAGGCAACATTCAATATCCTATACTTTATCAAGAAATCACGCTGTAATTGTCGAATATGCGGAGGATCCAGATACCGATATGTTCCAGGTATAAACGACAGACAATTATAAAATAACTATTTCTTGTTTTATATAAGACATGTTGTTCTATTGGTGTTTTAATTACATAGTTTATTATGCTAAACACATGTTAACTTAAATTTGTTTTCGGGTAATGAGTAATGCAGATGTATTTTTTTGTGCTTGGGGATTTTTACTATCGAGGTAATGAAGAAAAGAATTAGCATCAAATTTTAAGTAAAAAATATTAAATTAAGTATGTACTTCAAAGCATTTGAAACGTAGAGTACAGTAAGTCCGCACTTAAGTAGAAAAATTGTTTAAGTACAATAAACTCTTCCAAGATAACTGAGAAGATGCGAGTTCAAACCTTGCACTGGACGAAGTTACACTGCCCTAAGCATATATAGGGTTGTATAAAAAACCATAATGTTTTTTATAGTACGAACATTGACAATTCTTATAATAAAAACTAGTGGTGCATGGCATTGTGCTTTAAGGGATATGGCTGGTACTTTCCGTACCATAATTAAATATTGGAAAACTAAAAATAATTAATATTCAATAAAAATTGATTAGTGATTAATAACAATTGTTTTAAATATTTTTAAATTAGTTGTTATAAATGCTGTAACTATCATATTTCGTATTTTATAGACGAAATATTATAAATTAGGCGATGGAAGGGTGTTGTACACTTATGTATGTTTACTTAATATAAACATATGAATGGAGGCATCATAGGTCTTTCATATTTATAATAACTATTTATATTCTTAACATTGCGCGTATTGGTATGGAACTCTAAGTAAAGTTCAATTTCTTGAACAAAATACAAAAATTAAAATCGCTTATTAGATGTATATAAGTGAGCTTACATAATTTTAAATGCTTGTGTTGGAAACCGCTAGACTTGCCTTCCCAAAATTATAATCATTTTTTCATTCCGTCAATATAAGTAAAATGTTATTTGAATCATTCAAATCGGCCGCTCCGTTCTTCAAAAACTGAATTGTCATTTTTTGCACTTTTTGCCTTCGAAACGACTGTACCCACCAGTACCAACCTATCAATAGAAATCCAATGTGTTTGAATCATTGAAATCGATTGATCTGTACTTTCGTCATCGTGGACGAAAAATTGTGTACCGACATACGCGCACACATACTTACATTCATTATTTTCTAAAATATTCAGAAACTTCTGAAACGTAAAGATATGCAAAAATGTTCATTTTCGATTTTTTTGCGATTACTACTCACCCTGCGGGATATTAATGAACTAGACATGGGGTTTAATTATGAAGAAAAATTTAATATTTTGAAGCTAATATTAATATATGTATTTAACACTATTCGCCAACAAATACGCTCCATTTTTTTAATTAGCTCTGCAGAATTTACTTATTTTTTCTGATAATGAAAAGAATTTATGAAATGGTGATAATATAAAATAAATATAAGATATTTGACAGTTTGGTAGTCGGAGTGTTGGCTTACGGCGCAGAGATTTGGGGTTGGAGGGAGGTCGCAGAACTAGAAAGAGTACAGAAAAAATACCTGAAATGGATACTTGGTCTGGAGTCTTGTACTCCAGATTATGTACTATATGAAGAGGTAAAACGAGACAAATGACATCTGATATTAGCAAAGAGAGCGATTAATTATGAAGAAAGATAGTTAAAGACAGGAGTAAATGCCATAGTGAAGGAGTGTATTAGCGAAAGAAGGAGAGGTAAAGGGGATAAAGAGAGGTTGGATGAAAGGATAAGATACATAAACAGATGTGGATTTGGCCAGGAGGGCATAGTTCAGCTGAGTGAAACCGGAGCGAATGTTGGAGAGGTACTGCGGGAGAGAGGAAGAGAGGTACAAAGTCAAGAGAACTGGAACAAACTGGAAAGATCTAGATACAATAGAAAGTATAGAGAAATAATGACAAGTGGACTTCCGCAGTATCTAAGAGGCTGGAGCAATGGCTGCGATCAGAAGGTAATTGCGCGGTATAGATGTGGCACCATGGAGAAAAACAACAAACACTGGCTGAACCCTGAAGAACGAAGGTGTGAGTTGTGCGGGAAGGAGGAGGACACGGTTGAACATTGGAAGGAAAGATGCGCGATGTTAGAGAGAACAAACAGTTCTATAGAAGACGTTCTCTGTGGCAAAAATGATAAGGAAAGTCTGGGCTGGTTGAAAACAATCAACCGCATGAAAAAAGCGAAGGAAAAAGAGTTACTTGGGCAACCAGTCCAGAACGTTATAGTTATTAGAAACCACTAGGATCAGACTTTTCTGTTTATTTTTATTTTTGTATGTAAAGTAGGTTTAAGGTATTATTGGTATAATGATGTATTTCTAGGCCATTAGGCTGAAATAAAATAAATAAATAAAAATATAAAATAAATATTCACCAAATTAATTACGCAATTGTACATATGAAGCAATATTGATAAGGTAATTATTTGTTGCGTAAAAGTTATATTGCTCGGAAACTCATTGTTTAAAAGTAAATAATATAAACTAATTAAGCATGTGAATGAGTAATATGTTATTATTGAATTTATCATTATAAGTTATTAGTATATTAATCATACTGAATATTTTCCATGCAATATTTCAAATTACATGTTAAATTTTATTGTTAATAATTATATAAATTACAGATTTTTCTTAATTATTTATTAGATACAAGATTTTCCTATTCTTATTCTTTTTCGACAATTTTTAACTTCCCGTAAAAAACATTCGATACCTACTGGTAAGGAGACGTGCTGATTAGTTTTTGGCAAACTCAGGTTTTGTCGTTTTGGAGATACCGGACAAAAAGTTCCAAAAATGGTATTTCAGTTTTTGAGATAACGGAGCACCCGATTTAAATATCTCAAAAAACATTTTACTTGTGTTGGCGAAATGAACAACTGGTGAAATGTTTGTAAAGGCAGGTCCAGCGTCTCAGGAGATCCAATAAAAAAGTGAAAAATAATGCCATAAGGCGGTCAAAGCTGAACATTAGACATATGTACATCAGTATTATTAGATGTTTTATAAATATTATAATAATAAGTACAAATTTTATGATATTTGTCTGGGTTCCGTGTCAATGTTTACACGTTAGACGACAACGCGGCGCTCACGCGCTTTGATATTTCGACTCCAAACCATCTGTGCAGCGCGATTGCTTAGAAAAATATTCAAAATAAATCAAAATACAAATAATCAAAATATAAAAAAATCAAATTTTTCAAAAATTTCAAAATTTCTTAAAAGGGTATTTTTTTCAAAGTTTTGCAAAGTTTTTTCAAAAGAATAAGTTCAGAAAAAATGGTTCATAATTTGATTTTATACATAGACATTACTTATGTTTAAACATAGATTATTTTTTACATTAATGTGCTATCTATTTTTGCTGATTTCAATAATTTTTAATTTCTTTCAAAGAACATTTTAATAAATCTTAATTTTTTAGATCGGTCGCTCTTCAGAAGAACCAATAGACTTTGTGGTTATGGATACAGTACCCGGCGACAAAAAAGGCGAACAACGAGCTGAACAATCTACAATATCGCGGTTTTCGTGCCGCGTTATAGCAGAAAGAGCGAGGCCTGGCAACGCGCGGATCTACGCTGCCGGATTTGATTCTAGCAGGAATATATTTCTGGGGGTACTATTGGTTTATATTCATATTATTTATAATCTTACAGTAAGATTCTTTATTGCAACTTTGCAGTTATACTGAAAGCTGACCTTTTAATAACTACTTCAGAAGTTTTTTTTTCGAATGTCAAATTTTACAAAAGTGTTTGTTTTAAGTTTATTATTTTGATTTGAATTATAATCAAGATATTATAACATTTATTTTATCACAAAAACTTTGATCATGCTCTTTTCGGCAGTGAAACGTTTTAATGTGTATGTTTACATCGACAAATAACACTGCGTGACAGTAATTTTTTTCTCTCTAGATGTTATGATTTATTTTTAAGTAACCAGCTTCTAAATTTTTAATTCTGTTTTCTCTTTCAACGTTGGATTCTCAATTTATTACATTCTCTAGATGTTGATGTTCCTGGTTGATCATCTTTTGCATGGATAGAATATTGCCATTGGGGCCGTGTTGTATTTGCTACTACGTTGCTGTATTTGCTACTATTACCCGAACATATTATGGCAATATTTTTCACACACAGCAAAAACAGTCGTCGTGTTGATTAGGACATTTTTCAAATGAGTTTTTTTTTTCAAATCTTATAACACTTTATTTTCTTTCGTCCTTTGCGCAAATACACTAGCCAAATCTGGCACATAGTACGAGGAACCCATGTTTCATCTTGATTTTGCAATATTATTTCAAAGAACTTGAAATATGAAAACATATTAATCAAAAATATAACAAGAATTATCTGAAATACGCGAACAACGTCTCTGAGTGAAAGCCATACCGAATATAGCAGATAAAACTGTTCGTTATTCATTCATTTAAACATAGTCCAAATGACTAATGGCGGTAGTTCTCTAAAACACAAAAAATGTGCTGTACCAAAGACTGGAAGGTTTATTTTGAAATCAGCGTACAATTCACAAGCAGCTAAAAATGGAAAGAAAAAACTAGTGGAGTATGGCATCGTGCCTTAAGGCAAATTGCTGGAACTTCCCGTACCGTAATGAAATAATATTCGAGAAATTTTAAACGTTTATATCTCGTCTTGTTATATCTTGTTATATCTGAGCAAATTAAATGTAAATCACAAATCAATTTATCTCCAGAACATTAACAATCGTCACTTCATTTCGAATTCAATTTCAAAAAAAAGTTGCCTTACACAGTTGCCTTAATTTACACAAAATTGAAAAAATGCTCCGGTACAGTCACAGTTCAAACGCATTTGCAAATAATTCTGTGCGACATTTTCACTTAACATTTGTACCAAAGTGGCGCTTAGACTGTGCTTAGTCTGGGTAATTTTTTGACTTTTTAATCCAAAATTACAAAAATATTTTTTGAAAAAAAAATTACAAACAATTTTTTTCCCGAAAGCAATTACTTTGTTGAAACAAGCAGAAAGTTCTTTGAATCATTTCAATCGGACGCTTAGTTCTCTCAAAGTCTGCCTTTGCCAAAAACTAATCAGCACATCTTCCTATTAATAGGAATCGAATGTTTTTTAAACCATTCAAATCGGTTGATCCGTGCGCCCGAAAACGTGGACGAAAAAATACGGACATACAAAACACACACGCGCACACACTCACACATCCATTTTTTTTTAGGTATGCTAAAATAATCAGAAACGCACTTTGACATTTCGTTTCTATGCAGTACGATTGCTTTGAAAAAAGTTCAGAATTCCCAAAATATTTTCATTTTTTTTCAAAAAAAAAAGGATTTTTTGTCCAATTTATAGTTTCTCAAAAATCTAATTTTTTCGAAGTAATTTTTTTTCAAAAATGGTAATCGTTTTTAAAAAAATAATAATTTTTGGTACGGGAAGTTCCAGCAATTTGCCTTAAGGCACGCCCCACTAGTTTTAACTTATTTTTATTGAGAGTCTATAACCGCTAGACCTGCCTATTCTTAAAATTTAATCAGTTCTTCATCTTGTCAAGTACAATAAAATGTCAAAATATTCAGAAACCTTTGAAACGTAAAAATTTTCATTTTCGATTTTTTTGCCATTACTATAACTTGCCTTACGGGAAGTTAATTAATATATTTATTGTACTACGTTACTATGATTTTAGAAAACTAGATAATATTCAACCATTCAAGCCTTATATCTTTCATTGAAAATATTTGGATATCCCAAAACATTTGACTATTTTCGAATTTACACTGTGCTAATTTTATTTAATTTTTTTTTTGTAAACTTATTTTTCAGCTTATGATAAAACGATTATGATATTCAGCAGATAAACATGTACCCAAAAAATTGATATTATGAAGTTTTTGTGTGAGTGGAAAGATTTATCTTATATATCTTATTTTCTACACTTATGCTTTCATTTTTTAGTCAATTTGAGTTAAGTCAATTAAGTCTTGAAAAAATATTATTACTAGCAGTCCATATTAAAATCTTATGCTCTTTTATATACAATTGATTTTAAAGTTTTAAAGATGAAAATAATAACCATATAATTGTTTTAGTCACACTTATGTTCATGAATGAAATACATCAAATAATTCTATTGTTAGGGTAAATTTTGAACTTGATGATGCTAATTGATGCATATATCATTGTTCCAAATATCAAAGATTTGCATTGTGGACTCTTACGATCTTACGATCACACAATTATATAAACCAAATTCAAGGGATAAAGCAATTATTTTGTTTATTTTTTTTATGATACTAACTATTCTTTATAAATAAATTCAGGAAAAAGCGACAAAATGGCAGGACGCTTGTGAAATAGATGGACTAACGACGAATGGTGTGCTAATTATGCATCCACGTGGCTCATTTTGTGGAGGAGACGCACAATCAGGATGCTGGCGTGAAGCGTCTGTTGGTGGCGGCGTTTTCTCATTGAGAGAAAGTCGAGCGGCACTTCAGAAGGGCATACCGGTAATTTTAATAATTCTAATTTGACAAAAATGTACTAGAATGTTAAAATAGAAATAAATAATACCAACGGTGTATGAGCATTGGTGTGATTTCAGCGTAAAGAAGGCGAATAACATTTAAATTGTAGCAAATAAAATTTTTTACTAGTTAACTTCCTGAAGGAGAAGTTTATGTTTTCATAAAAAAATTCGATTCGCTAATTTTATGTTTTCTCGACGTTTTAAGCCATTCTGAATCGAATGAGACCAAATATGGAAAAAGTATGTGTGTGTGTGTTTTTTTTTTGTATAGCGAAGGAAATGGCTTTATGCATCCCAGACTGGTGTTTTGTCTGGGAATGTCGGACTCAATGCCGCCCTGGTATAATACCGACTAAAACCTCCCCTTTGCCCTTGCCTCCCACGGAAACTGTCGTTAGGCATTACTTCGTGGGGGAGGATCTAGAATGTTATAATTCTTAACTTGATTTTATACTCATCTTTTAATTGGCGAAGTCCCATTCGCCCTTTCTCTTTCCCTAGAACGCAGGTCAATTAGCACCTCTCTCGCAAATCTGTCTATGGCGTTCCAAGCAGCATCACTTTCAGCATCACTTCAACAACATTACCTGGGGTAATTCTTCGTCTCAATGTCTCTTCCACATCGTCCCGTAGAGTACCAAATCGCGGGCACACGAAGAACACATGCTCAGCATCTTCGATTTCGCCCAAACAATATGGGTAATCCGACGTGCTTGAAGCGGTGTAGGTAGGCTCGAAAACAGCCGTGACCAGATAGCATTTGCGTAGTATAATAATTTACTTCTCCATGCTTGCGACTTAGCCAGATTTTGATGTTTGGAATGAGACGATGCGCCCATCTGCCTTTCACTGCGACATAGCACAGTTGCTGCCATCGGTCAATGCTGTTCTGCCGTTCTTCTACTAATCTCTCTTTCCTCTACTAAGACTAAGAGATATTGTGCGAAATGCGCAAAGAATTCTTAAAGCACTTAGACCATTCTCCTTGAATTTTGAGTTTTGAGAGCATCAGCCCATATGGAGATACCATATGTAAGCACCGAAGTAACCACTGATGATAGTAATATTCTTCTGATTTGTTTAGGGCCTTCAACATTAGGCATCGAGCAAGTCTCGTTTTAACTATTGACGCCTTAGCACTAACGTGTTCCACCTGTTGATTGAAATTCAATCGAGCATCAAGCATTACGCCTTGAGAAGTTGTGTAGATCGGTATTTCGATAAAAATAGAAATCAGATCAACACAACGCACAGAGGAGATAAACGCCGAGAAGGTAACAGATGTGAGGTTTTGACGTGATCTCTAGATTTCCTTCAGCTTCAGCTTGATGGTTTCTATTGTTTTTCTACTCGTGATGAGAACAGCTTCTCTTTTTTGTTGTGTTAATTGGAGGTTCATTGTTCCCATCCAGCGATTAATTTTTCTAAATGTTATATCAAATAGACTTACGATTTCATCAATTCGTTTGGAGACAACTACTATGGCAACATCGTCTGCATATGCTACTAGTTTCACACATGCTGGAATCTCAAGTCTCAAAAGGCCATCATACATAATATTCCACGGCAAATGTCCTAGAACAGAGCCCTGCGACACACCTCCTGTTATATTATATTCTTCTGTACCATCGCGTGAATCGTACATTAGAATTCTGTCTGTAAAGTAGCTTGCGACTATATTGTGTGTATGTGTGTGTGTGCGTGAACAGATTTTTTGCGGTAAATCGACGTTTTCTCAAAAACGCTTGCACCGATTTCCAAAATTTAAAAGTCATTCGATGTACCTTGACTAGCGTTTTTAAATTTTGTGCGACGATCAGCCTAACCATTTCTTCGTAAATAGCAAAAAAGTGAAAATTTTTTCGTCCACGTTTTAGCTCGCAATTCTGAATCGATTTTGAAAATTCAAAAATTGTTTGAATGGTATTGATTGGGAATCGGCCTGATTAGTTTTTGGTAAAGATCGGCCGGGAAGTTTTCTTGTAATAAAATGTTAAAAAAAAATTCGACGATTTTCATGAATTTTTTTTTTTTTGGTGATTGATATCATGGTCTTCTAGATCATACTAAAATATTACGGCCCTACGACAAGTTGTTTAATTTTGAAAATTCGTCAAAGTTTGCAAAAATTAGTATCGTTTTTTTGGCATTTGTCAAAATTAGATCTTTCATCGCCAATTGCTCAAAAACGCCTGAACTGATTTCAGAAATTTAAAAGCCATTTTATGTATCTCGATAAGGATTATCGTTTGTCAGTTTTGTGAGACGATCTGCCTAGCCGTTTCTTTGTAATTTGGAATTCGTCCACATTTAAGCTCATACTACCGAATCGATTGTGAAAAAATCGTAAACTGTTTGAAAGATATTAGTTGGGCATGATACTGATTAGTTTTAGGTGAAATTCTACCGAGCCATTTTCTTGTAATTAACTGTTGAAAAAAAAATTAAGCCGATTTTGTTTGCGATATATATCATGGTCTTATAGAACTTTCTGAAATATTACGGCCTTACGAGAAGTAGTTTAATTTTAAAAATTTATCAAAGTTTGAGAAAATGAATAGTTTTTATAACATTTGTTAAAATTAAAATTATACGATTTACTTGGTATAACGATAGAGTACTTGGTCTTAATGACCATACTAAGCCATTAAAGTCCTACGGGAACTGGTTCAATTATAAAAATGATTGATTTTGAAAATTTGCTTTTAGAAAATACCCCGAGTTAACTTGTTTGTTCGTTTTCAATTATGCGAAAGTTCCGAGCACTCGGAATACTTTTAATTGCTCATAAATTAATTTATTTTTTATTGACTAAGTCGATTATTTACACATATCGGGAAGTTCATGTAACTTGCCTCAAGGCAAAATACCAATACCTTAATACAAATTACATTTAGAAAGTAACAGACAATAAAATGAATTGAACATATATTTTTTTAACGCAGGTCGAAAACGAAACAAATATTCTGCAGGATGGAACATTAATCGACTTGTGCGGGGCTACGTTGCTTTGGCGATCTGCCGAGGGCTTAGAAAAATCACCAGTACGTATATCATAATATGAGATTATAATAAATAAACTTTAAAACTCAGACTAGTCTTTTTTCGCTAATTTTAACTAATAAAAATTAGTTGAACTAATGTATATAATTATTTGTTGACATCCATTAATATTTTTTGCAGACAAAGAAGGATTTAGAAAAGCAAGTAGATGAATTAAATGCTGGTAGACCACAATGCCCTGTAGGTTTAAACACCCTTGTAATTCCTAGAAAAGTATCCGCAGGCGATCATGTAAATCAACCTTATGTATACCTTAACTGTGGACATGTACAAGGTAAAGCATTATCATGAATATAAAAAGTAAATGATTTTTCAACTTCCCGCTAATTTATTGTGATCGTCCAAAAATCGAAAATTAAATTTGTTTCATATCTGAGGTTTCAGAGCTTTTATTTTGACATACCTTATACAAATGGATGCGTGTATGTATGTATGCGTGGATACAATTTTTCGGCGACGTTTTTTATAACATCACACAACCGTTTGAATTATTCAAAAGGCATTCGATTCCTCTTTGACAAAGAGATGTACTGATAAGTTTTTGGTAAAAATTGGACTAGCCTGTTTGGAGATAAGGAGCAAAGAGTGCAGAAAATAGAAATTAAGTTTCTGAGAGAACAGATGACCATTGGATTTGAACATTCTACTTGTATTGACGCCATGAAGAATTGGTTAATTTTTTGGAAAAAAAAACTTTGAAAAAATTAGATCTTTTCAATAGTATAAATAAATCGACATGAATGGGTATCAAAAACTTTCAAGATGTTTCAACATTTTCACAAATAAAAATTAATTAATTAACTTAAATTTTCAAAAAAAAAATCTAAATTTTCAAAATATAACAGTATTTAAAAAAATCTTTTTTCTTTTCAATATTCATGTTTCTAAAATATCTTCAAAAATGTTAAAGAAAATCTAAATTCTCCAAAATATCTAATTTCTCTTTTCTGAGCTCTTAAAATTTTTTAAGTTACAGTAGGGAAGTTCCAGCAATTTGTCTTAAGGCATTCGTTATATATTTAATTTATCAATTCAGATTATTTATTGCCCTAATTTTTGAATTGTACATATATATAATACAACTGACAAAATTACACTAAAATCAGCTCAGAAAATTGTTAAAGAAAAACAGATCATTTTGTCAATCTTCTTTGAGACAGAGTTCTTTCTTTCAGACAGAACAAGCAAATAGAAGTAAACCAGACAACTAAGCTTACTCAAAAATTGAAGTAAAATAAATTATCTTATGTCTATACATAATTAAATAAAACAACAATTATTTATTAGTAAAACAAAAATTTTTTTTTTTTTGAACCTGCGGTCCGTTTGAATCCTGTGCTGTATGTTTCATGTGACAGACATTAATTCTGAATAGAGAGTAATTAAAAAAATATATTTTTTTCAATTCTCAATGCACGATTGATCAATTATATTTCACTAAAAAGGACAACATAATTGGGGACAAGATAAAGAATCAACGAAGCGCCGGTGTCCAATGTGTCTGGAAACGGGTCCTGTAGTGACGCTATGTATGGGGATTGAACCAGCATTTTACGTAGATTCAGGATCCCCAACGTTTGCCTTCAATCCTTGTGGACATATGGCCACTGAGAAAACAGTCAAGTACGTATAAATCATATTTAAAATGTAACATTGATAAATTTGCATACTATAAGAAACACTAAAATTTGCCACTATTATTTATATTTATTTTGTTTTTATTAACAATTGGACTTAACTATTATATTATATTTTTCAAGGAAATCATATATCATCTATCTAATAACACATGTGTTTAACACTACCTTTAATTATACATTTATCAACATCACAAATCCTAGAGTTTTTCTTATCAAACCTTTTGAAACTTTTTATAATCGTAATCTTGTTATTTAACTAGTTGGTATTGGTATTTTGCCTTGAGGCAAGTTACATGAACTTCCCGACATGCGTAATTAATCAACTTATTCAATAAAAAATAAATTAATTTATGAGTGATTATAAGTATTCCGAGTGGATTTATTACACATATATTTCTCTTTAATATTTTCTAAAATCAATAATTTTTATAATTGAACCAGTTCAACGCCAGAAAAAGGCCGTAATATTTCAATAAGTTGTATAAGACCACGATATATATCATCAAAAAATGTTTCATAAAAATCGGCTCAATTTTTTTTTCAACAAAGAATTACAAGAAAACGGCTCGGTAGATTTTTATCTAAAACTAATCAGTATCATTCCCAACTAATATTTGTCGAACAGTTTTTGATTTTTTAAAATCGATTCGGTAGTATGAGCTTAAATGTGGACGAAAAGTTTAACACTTTGTTCTAAATTTCAAAGAAACGGCTCGGCCGACCGTCGCACAAAACTGACAAGCGATAGTCCTCATTGAGACACATCAAATGGTTTTTAAATTCGATGGTCGATGAAAGGTCTAATTTTGACAAATGCCAAAAAAACGATACTAATTTTTGCAATTTTGATGAATTTTTAAAGCTAAACTAGTTGTCGTAGGGCTGTAACATTTTAGTATGATCTAGAAGAATATGGTATATACCGTCAAAAAAATAATAATAAAAATCGTCGAAATTTTTTTTTTAACATTTTATTACAAGAAAACGGCCCGGCCGATCTCTACCAAAAACAGCACGATTCCCAACCAATATGTTTCGAACGGTGTTTGAATTTCCAAAATCGATTCAGAACTGCGGGCTAAAACGTGGACGATTTTTTTTTTCACTTTTCTGCTATTTACAAAGAAACGGCTTGGCTGATCATCGCGCAAAATTGATAAACGCTAGTCCTCATCGCGATACATCGAATGGTTTTTAAATTTTTTAAATCGCTCCAGCCGTTTTTGAGAAAACGACGATTTTCGTCAAAAAATCTGTTAACACCACACATACTTTTTCCAAATTTGGTCTCATTCGATTCAGAATGGCTTGAAACGTCGAGAAAACATAAAATTAGCGTATTGGATTTTTTGATGAAAACAAACTTCTCCTTCGGGAAGTAAAAAAATAATGATCTAAGCTGTATTATTAACATTATTATTTATCGATAATTTTAAATTTTACTCATATAGAAAAATATGCGTAACTCTAAATTCGATTAATTTTCAGATATTGGGCAAGCATAGAGATACCGCATGGAACAAATGGGTTTCATGCTATTTGTCCATTTTGTGCTGTACCTCTAGACAGCCCTGGTTATGTAAAACTCATTTTTCAGGATTATTTGGATTAAAAATAACTTAAAGTCATTGATCTCCCTTCAATCCATCTATTATTCCTCAATTTCAAATATTCTGATTATGGATATCGACATATAGAGGTATTAATTTTTTATTTGTTTATTCTGTAGATAAATTCTTAAAAAAGGTTTTATCAGAGTGGTAATATAATATAATCAATCTTACAGAAAAATACCTAAGCAAATCAATAAGTCAAAGTTATTTAATACTAACCTGCGCACAGGCTTTGGTTAAAAGTTAGAAGTTGTTATGTATGTGAATGTGTGTAATATAAAATATGCATATGTAAATATATACTTTTGTTAGTAGAGAAAACTTATTTTCAGAAATTATTATTTTAATTAATGTTAATTAACTTTAATCCATGCTAATCAACGTTATTCAAATTATTCAAATATTGTATAATGTAGATAAATCTGCAAAACAACTACATTTTTTGTTTTCCTCATAACAAAAAGATGAACGTAAAGTAAATGGATTTGCATTGTTTAATGATAATACTTTTTATTAAATATAGAAACAGTAATATTTTGCTTTTAATTTGTATAACCTGTTAATGGAAAAGTTAAATTATTATTCAACTTCTGTCTGTAAGTTTTTTCTTTAATAAAAGGTAATAAACGTAATTGTGCATATATGTGTTTATTTGCAAGTATGAATATGTGTGTGTATGTTATGGGCAGATGTATTTATATATGTATTGTTAGGTGAATGCAAAAAATTGTGTAATATAACAAGAGAATATTATTATTCATAAGATTATTAATTTTTTTATTTGAATACGGAGTAAGTGTATACTTTTAATGTGTTTGAACATGATATGTATCATCTGGTGGTGCTAATTTTTTGGGATATATCTTATTTGGATTTACTGTGCGAAAGTATGGTACATACACATTATTACATTTCTATCACAGCTTTCGTTGAAATGAAATCATAAATTGGTGAATTTATCATTTACAAAATCGTAAGTTTCTTGATTGTTCTTCTCAGTACATAGTCAGATTAAAAAAAAATAGATTGTTGGTGTAGATAATCATAGGATTTTTTTTTCTATTTGTGTAGGAAACATTCATGAGTGATAGGGAGATTTGTACATAATAATAAATGTGATCTATTAAAGAAAAAATAATTATTTACATTTTATTTTGATTTCTAATTTAATTTCTGAATTTGTACGTGATCTCATACAAAATTCATGTAAATGATATTTTGGGTATTGCAGGCATATAACAAGTATTATGTGAAAATAGTACTTATTCAAATATAATCATATGATATTTAAGTATAAAATGTAATTTATTTAAAGACAATGTGAATGTCATTGTGGGATCATTTTTATACTCAGTCTCATGGATTTACTCAGTACAGGTGCAGACATGAAAAATTGTCATTTTAAATGTTTTATTTAAAACTTTGAAATTTTTTACTTTAGAAGTTCAGATGAGCTGTTTGCAATCGTATTTTAGAAGAATGATTAGCATGGTTATATTCTCACATTGTCTTGATACGCCTATTAACATTCTAAATTTTATTGCTACATTGATATACAACCCCGTGATTATATGAAACTGGTAACATATTATCAGCATTGCATATCCGACCAACCAGCGTTTTATTATTGTTTTGTTCATGCTTTACCTTTAAATGTCTTAGGTTTTTTTTCAATCATTTGGATAATGCAACTTATTCAAAATAAATTACTTGCATTATTAAAATTGTACATAAAAATATAACACCATAATTAATATTAAGATTCATCGTATATCACCAATTATTTCTGACACAGTATGTTGGCCTTAGTTAAGGAACAAAGTATGAGATCACAAGAATAGTCAAGCAATTACAGTTTGGTGGCAATGCCATTTTTCATTTCTGCATGTAGGTGATCAGTTCAGGTTGAAATATTTAAATTGAAGAAAATTTAATTATTCGTTGTTAGAAATATACCCTATTAATGCCAATTTGCGTATGTTTGAAATCTTTATAGTCATATTTTTAAATATTTTATAGTTGATGGTTTATGAATGTAAATGCACCTTTCTATATGTATGTATGTATGTATGTGTATGTGTATGTATATATATATATAATATATATATATATATATATATATATATATATATATATATGAATGTATGATTTATGTATATGCGTGTGGTTCAAATTTTATTAAATTAAGACTGTTTATTATAGTTATTTATTACAAAATAATTTAGTACATAGTTGAGAAATATTATGTTGTTCTGTATGGCTTTGTTTAAACAGTTACTTACATAACTACACATAAATCTATCTATATCAAATAACTCCTAGCAAATGTGTTTCATGTACTTGCAGAAAGCACTCAATACCATATGGGTTTTGAATTAGGTTGCATCATTATTAGGTGTTTAATGATTCTAGGTTGAAATTGTTAATAATTTACTTTCAGATTGGGAAATTGAGAATCAGAAAATGGAAAGCATTAATTATTGTTTTTTTTATATTATACTAAACATTTCAACAATACCTTGGCATCTACTGCTTTCTTCCCCAATAAGTTTAGAGCATATTTTTAAACCTAGTGTATATGTATTTACCCAGTTTACAGTATTAAGTTCTGAAAATATATATATTGTACAATTGTAGGTTCACAAAAAAAAATTATGCAGAACATTAGAATAAAAAAAGAAATATGAATGGATAAAACATATAAAATACAAGTGGACTTACATTACGTTGGTTAGTTACATATAGAGAAGTGTACACAGCACTAGAGATTTGGCACTAACATTTATACAACTAACTTGTCAGCACTATGCATTTTTTTATATAATTTTGTATGATGTAAACAGAAAAATGATAGTTTTATTGAACAAAAATGTAAGTAGAATTATGTAATTTCTGCCACGACATAATTCTACTTACATTTTTGTTCAATAAAACTATCATTTTTCTGTTTACATCATACAAAAAATTATATAAAAATGCATAGTGCTGACAAGTTATTGTATAAATGTTAGTGCCAAATCTCTAGTGCTGTGTACACTTCTCTATATGTAACTAACCAACGTAATGTAAGTCCACTTGTATTTTATATGTTTTATCCATCTTCAAAATAATTTGTTTGCTTTACATATATACGAATTTACATATATTGTATGTTTAGTATATATATGTATATATATATAATATATGTATTTGTATGTATGTATGTATATATATGTATATTACTTATTTACATGTATGTTTGTATGTATGTGCATATGTATATGTGTATACATGTAGTTATATATACGTATATATGCATGTATGTATGTGTATATGTATATATATATATATATGTGTATATATATGTATGTGTGTATATATATATATATATTTGTGAGCATTTATGTACATATGTATATATATATATATGTATTGTGTGTAATATATATATATATATATATGTATGTATATATATGTATGTATATATGTGTGTATATATGTGTATATACATGTTTATGCGTATATGTATGTGTATACGTGTATAGCTATAGTTACATAGATAGGTATGAGTATATGTATGGTTCATACATGTACATGTACGTCGTTGTGAATATGCTTGCACGTTGCATATATGTATATACGTATATTTATATGTGTATAGTCTTACATGTATATGTGTACATATATAGGTATATATTGTTGTATCTGTATATGTATATGTGTATATATGTTTGTATGTGTGTGTATATGGATATACGCATGTAGTATATATATATATATATGTGTATATATATATATTGTATATGTGTGTATATGTGTATGTATATATATGTATATATGCGTAGGTTTATATGAGTGTACTTAAATATTTTTGCCTATACTTTTAATTATTTATTTAATTCTAGTCTCTACTACCTTTCCTATCTTTTATATTTGGTTTGTTGTTAAGTGTTGCTGTTTGTTAATTTTTCTCTTATTGTATAGTTACTTTACCAATCCACATATATTATAATTACCTAGATATGCTAAATTTCATACTGTTTTTAGATCCACTGATGATGACATTAAATTGAATGTCGAAACGTTTGGAAATAAAGATTATTTTATAAATCTTTGGCTTTTCTTTGTTTGATGTATCGCCCTCAAGAACTCACTCATATATTTCAACATCAAAATTAACTACTAAATCATATATATATATATATATATATATATATATATATATATATATATATGAATGTATGATTTATGTATATGCGTGTGGTTCAAATTTTATTAAATTAAGACTGTTTATTATAGTTATTTATTACAAAATAATTTAGTACATAGTTGAGAAATATTATGTTGTTCTGTATGGCTTTGTTTAAACAGTTACTTACATAACTACACATAAATCTATCTATATCAAATAACTCCTAGCAAATGTGTTTCATGTACTTGCAGAAAGCACTCAATACCATATGGGTTTTGAATTAGGTTGCATCATTATTAGGTGTTTAATGATTCTAGGTTGAAATTGTTAATAATTTACTTTCAGATTGGGAAATTGAGAATCAGAAAATGGAAAGCATTAATTATTGTTTTTTTTATATTATACTAAACATTTCAACAATTACCTTGGCATCTACTGCTTTCTTCCCCAATAATGTTTAGAGCATATTTTTAAACCTAGTGTATATTTATTTACCCAGTTGTACAGTATTAAGTTCTGAAAATATATATTGTACAATTGTAGGTTCACAAAAAAAAATTATGCAGAACATTAGAATAAAAAAGAAATATGAATTATATAATCAGTGATCTTATGATTTATGAACAGGCATAGGCAGATCGTATGTTAAAAGCCAAAGACATATTTTATCACTCAAAGAAATGATTTTTATTTGTGCAACAATGTGTAAATATATATTTTACTTCATGATTTACATATTATGTGACAAATTTGTTAGTACAATATTTTATGAGCAACTTAATTTCAAAGCATTTTCCATTAAATATGCTATGTGATCAAGGTAAAAATTCCAGACATTTTCAAGAAAACTATTTTGATTGAATAAATGATTGAATTTAATTGATATCTGTTAAAAGGAAGGCGCTGTTCTTGATTTTTCTTGGTTTGGCTATCATAATTCTGAGAAGAAAGTATTCTAATAAATCCCTAAGTTTTGTGTCTTAAATTAAAAATAACTTTATTGAACTGATAAATTTTACATAAAATTTAATAAATGTATGATTCAGTGTATATTTGAATATATAAATAATAAAGTTTTGTGTTTATCTACACATAAATGAAATTATTATTTTATTATAAATTACATGTTATAATAAATATTTGTCTGCATAATAAACATTTTTCATTTATTTTCTCTTTGTAAAAGTGAATCAGTAATAGTAAATTTGAAACACAATGGCAATTAAATTGAATTTTCAAATCAATTTAAAAAATAAAATATTCACTAAGATTTTAGCAATAGATCTTATTTCTGACGTTTAGTTAAAAGTTTTATATATTTACAGGTACTCTGAACACAACATGATCAGCACTCTGTATCAGATTTTGATTCAGAATTTTCTTCTTTAGTTTCTAATTCAGGCTGTTTGTCTGAATTTTCACTTAATTCTTCAAGATTATTGGACTCATTTTTCATTGGAGATGACTCAATTTCTTTCAAGTGTTCAGCGGTTTCTAGCTTTTGACCTGTGAATAGAAGTGAAAAATTGAGTAAGCCATTTCTCTTTCCACTTATTTCTGAAAGCTATCTAAATTTTATCCTATAAAATTATATTTCATTTATGACTTACTTGTGTCGCAAGTTGACTCGTTTTCATGCTCATCATTATTTTCTGTTGAAATATCCATTTCTTGTGATTCATTTGCTTCTGTATCGTTTTGCATATTATCATCATTATCTCTATCTTTTGAAGTGAATGATTCATCAAGATAATTTCCCATAATTTTCGACTCAATTTCTTCTAATTCACTATATACTTCTTGTCTCTTCTTATCAATAGCACCTGAGCGCAATAACAATAAATATAGTGAAATTATCTATATAAAAACCTATACTCAATGAAAATAACTGCACAACATTAAGCCTAGTTGAAGAATCTAATGTGGTGCGTAATATGTAATCAAGATTTCTTACCAGATGCATATCTTTGAGTCAAATTGCTGAAACTCCGCCAACCTTAATTTTTAATAACTATAATTTTTTTTGGAAATCTTGATTTATTTAAAAATTATGAACACATTTAAAAATTCCGATTTTTTTTTCGAAGCCCGTAATCGCCGCGCCGCAGTCTAACGGTAAAACATTATAAATCTTGGTACTTAACTTAATCCATAGAAATATGAAGAAAATTCGTACTTATTATTAAAATCTCTATAAAATATCTGATATGATGCGCATGTGCCCAATCATAATTTTTGACCACCAAATGGAACTAGACCTGTGTGATGACCTATTTTCCCAAAAAATTAATCAATTCTTCATTCAGTGAAATGTTTTTTTAAATCATTCAAATCGGACGCTTCGTTCTCTCGAACTGTATTTCGCCCCATATCTCCGAAACGGCTGGACCTGCCTTGGCCAAAAACTAACCAGCATGACTTCCCATCAATATAAATCGAATGATTTTTGAATCATTCAAATCGATTGGTATATGCTCTTAAAGTCGTGGATGAAAAATTGTATTCAAACATACACACATACATACATCTAGGAATAAGGTATTCCAAAATGTTAAGAAGACCTTAAAACGTAAAGATATGCAAATATTTTCATTTTCAATTTTTTCGTGATTATTATTTTTTTGATTACACTATGGGAAGTTAAATAATTATTAATTTAGAAAATCATTTAAGAAAAACAATATTAGAATAGTAAATGCAAACATTCACAGAATCAGGACAAATTATTTGTTATCTCTAAAAGTTAAAATCAGAAACATTTTTGAAAATAAAACTTGACGCTGCACATATCAATATCCGAGTTTTAGATATCATATATTATATGGTATATAAAACTTAATACTTAGTTTTAAATTAACATAAAACATAATACTTATTATTATGTCTAAAATCAGAAACACTACATCACAATCAATACTTACATTCAAGCTGTTCATTTGATTCTTTCAATAAAGTATTTGTGGCATCGTTCATAACTTTTGGTTTATAATAAATGGATGGTTTAGATTTTAATTGAATAAATCCAAATAATGGCTTCATTGATTCTTCCCATTTTGTATATTCTTTCATTCTGTTCATTTTCACTTCAATGGCACGAATTTCAGCTTGTTTTTTCTTGCGATCCAGAAATAAATTTTGTCTGGCTTTTTTAATTTCTTCTCTTTCTTTTGAAGCTTGTTCTTCAACTTTTCTTTCAATTTCTGCCTATGTCCAAAATAACTTAAGCATGGATAAAGTAGCTCACGTATGTTTACAGATTATTTCCTTTATATTTTTATGTATATATTTTTTGTATATCTTTCTGCTATACAGAAACTGTTTGAAGCTGTAAAGTTGGGTCAAATGAGTATTCTGGAAGAGACTCTGAGAGTGAGCGGTTTTATAAAAGATGCTGTTGATGATTATGGCATGTCGGCCCTCCACCACGCTGTTTTAACTCAAAATATTGAATGTATTTCATTATTGATTGACTTACAATGCCCTTTAGATATTCAAGATAAACAAGGTACTATGAATACACTCATGAATGGTTTTTTGGAAATATTTTTTTTAAACGAAATTTATAAATTATGCATTTACACGAAATTATAAACACTAAACTATAATTTGTTTATATCATCATTAACATTCTTGTTATGGGTGTATAAGCTATTTTATTTGAAATACCAAAACAAATAACATTATTGTTTTTAAACTTTATTGTGATTGCATATAATTCATAGCACAAATTTATTCGAGGTGAGCAAATAAAAGAAATATTTTTTACAAAATCTATAATTTATCAAAATATATAATATTGTTCGACAATGGCAAAAGATGAAAACAAACAACTAGAGATTAAAGAAAAATTTGCTTGTATCTTTACAAACCAATTTTAATTTTTATCTATAAAGAAAATTCAATATTTAAAATAGTTTTTTTATTTGTTTTATTAATGAAATTAATATTCTTATAACTTATTAAATGTGTTTGATATTACATATTTCTATATTTATTTTTTATTTAATGTATTTGTTATTCATCATATTAAAAACTAAAAAAAGGTTTTTCTTGTAGTGATTTTTATCTAGCATGGTTTTTCCATATAAAAGTGAAACTTTCGAATTACACACAATTTTTCATGGAACATATCTTGTGTAAAAAGGGATAAAGGTGTTGCATAATTTTGATTTCATGAATTTTAATTCAATCTATTTTCTTGCTAGGTCGAACAGCTCTATTTATTGCTTGTTTGAATTTAGTACCTATCGACATAGTAAGATTACTTCTTTACAATCCTCAAAATTTTGTCAATTTATGTGATAAGAGTGGTGTATCGCCATTGATGCTTGCATGTTTACATAATAATCTAAGTGTGGTGCAAGCCTTGATACAATGTGGTGCGGATCTGAAGCTAAAAGATAAAGATAATCATTGGGCGTTATGGTATGCTTATTATATATCAAATTTTATAATTAATAATATCATGGTTGTGTGCTATCCTTATAAGCAATTTTACTGATCTGTAGAATGTTAATTCATTATGAATTTCATATTTATCTAAAAATCTGAAAATATTTTTACTATTAATCATTTTATTAGCAAATAATATGTATTCATTTATAAAATGTTACTTTGTATTTTTAGAAAATTATTTATTTAATAATTTTGTTTTTTTTTCTTTTATATATAAGAAATATTTGAATGATAATTACATATTTATTGAGGTTAATTTATTATAATTAATTTCTAAGAATTTCTAGTAAATTTCAATTACATAAATCTATGATAATGCAGACAGTAAGCATACTTTTATAATAAATTGTGAACTATATATATTTCAAATAATTATCCAGGTATGCCCAAAAATATGGATCAGAACAACTTTGTATTGCAATCAAATCAGTAATGATTTACAATGAGTATGAGGCTATAAACATCATGTGCAACTCTAGTAATACAACCAAAACTTTATGGAACAAAAAATTTTTGAGACTTCATGGAATGATTGATGACTTCGGCTGGAACCTGTTTCATTGGGCTGTTTCTAGAAATTTATCTGAATTTGTTCATATTGCTCAAAATTTAGGTTTTAATTCAGTACTAAAAGATAGATTGGGTCGATCTCCATTGCATTTGGCTTGTAAATTTGGAGCAAGTTTAGACATAGTATCACACTTTTTTGATGATATACTAGATGTTGTGAATGAAACAGATTGGTCTGGTGTCACACCATTAATGGCTGCATGCAGAATTGCAAGTGTTGAAGTTGTTAAAGCATTGTTGCAAGTAAGTTAATTTAATTTTGTAACGTTTGTACGTACAATGGTAATGAATTAAAGAAAAATTGATTTATTATATTAAAAATAAATATCTAAATATATTGTTTATTTTTAACTTCAAGTCATTCTGAATCAAATGAGTTACACATTCTGTATGTATGTTTATATGTGAATTATTTAAAAAATTCGGACAATCATTGATTAGTTTTGCGCGACTATCGGCCGAACCTTTTCCTTACAATCAGCAGAAGAGTAAAATTTTTCATCCACTGTGTTATCTCACAATCCTGAATCGATATTAAAAATTCTAAAACTGTTTGAAAGATATTGGTTGGTATCGCGCTGAATTGATCTCGGTAAAGATCGACCGGGCCGTTTCTTCGTCATTGTCTTAAAGAGCATACTAAAATATTGGAGACCTACGAAGTTACCTGTTAATTAAAGTTTAGATTCATGGGTCGCGCTTTTTGGAAATACTCCTTGTATGCATTGGTTTTTTAAAAGTGTGTAATAAAATAATGTATAACATTAAATAATCTGCAATAGTTTCTCAAATTATAAGCTCATAGAAAATATATTGATTTTTTATTGAGTTGACATAACACTTAGAGTTAGATACATTTCAAGTTGTTAACTTACTAAATATAAAGAATAAATACATTTCTTTGATAGATTACTAATATCAATAATAAAATTATCAATTAGTTGCATCTAAATAGTATATTATATTCTGTATAAATTCCTCATCATTCCCATAGTAAAAGGTAATATGTCTCAATAAATTTTCCTGAAACTTGCATGTATATTGCATTTAATTCAGAAAATTTTTATTCAATAGCAACTGTAATTTTTAGGTAGGTGCTAGGGTGTACCTAGTTGATCTAAAAGATCGTAACGCACTTTGGTATGCAAAATATTACAATAGAATGGATTTATATGTAACACTACTGCAAGCTGGTGCTCAAGATACTATTGCCGTGGTATAATTTTAACTTAACTGATTTAATTATCTAATTAATGTAGTTGTTCCATTGATAATATTTGTTGTAGAATTTGCAGTTTTCACCATTTAAAATATTTCCTATACAAGAAACAGTAAATTTTTATGATAGCGATGGCCTAACCCCTTTGATGAGAGCTTGTAAGGATTCCAAAATTGAAAACATTGAGAGCCTAATAAACAATGGAGCAGATTTAGAGATGCTAGATGGTGATAGTCATAGTGCTTTATGGCATGCTTATAATGCAGATCGAGATGATGTCTGTAAATTATTGATAAAAAGCGGAGCAAATCCATCTCTAAAGTATCCTGTAAGCATTTTTTTTATCATTCCAAAGTAGAAGTTTTTGTTTATGCCAGAAAATCCGATTTGCCAGATTTATGGTTTCCCAATGTTTCCTGAAAAAAGTATGAGTGTATTTTATTTAAGGGTTCTGATAAATTTTTGAAAGAAATCGGACGCCATTAACTGATTTGAGATATTAGCGTCATCGAAATTTTTTTTTTGACAATTTTGATGAAACTTTATATTGCAATAGAATTTATTTCTAATTGAATTAAATGGTTGGTAAATTATAAAAATTCATCAAAGATTGGAATTATTATCAAAGGTTGTGTAAAAATTAAAGAAAATTATCAGAAAGTTTTAAAATTTCCTAAATTCAAGTTATATTGATTAAGATGATTATTTACACATATCATTATTATTTTCAGAATATCTTACACTCTAGTCAAAATGGTAATATTCAGGATCTTGAGGTTGCTTTGAGTAAAAAGAATGGTTTTAAAGACATTGATTCTTGGGGAAACAATGCTTTGCACTGGGCAGCAATAAAAAATGATTTAGCATCAATGAGACTTCTATTGCAAGCGGGTATCGATACAAGGGCTACCAATAAATTAGGTGCAACTCCTTTGTATATGTCTTGTGTTTGCAATGCTCAATTGCAGTGCATAAAAGAATTAATTAACTATGATAAGGACTGTGTAAATATTTGCACAAATACTTTGAAGTCTCCACTGATGGCTGCTTGCAGGCATTCTTGTTTAGAAGTAGTCAAAATTCTAATTAAAGCCGGTGCTTTTGTTAATTGTGAGGATAGTGATGAACGAACACCTTTATTCTATGCCTACATGAGTTGGGATTGGGAGATATATGAGTATTTGCTCTTATGTGGTGCTAATCCTGTGAAAGGAGATATTTGTTTATTGCCCTGTTACATTGACTATCATCTTGGACATTGGAATGAAAATAAAGATCTTGCTATCAGACTACTGGAAATAAATTTGCGAGATTTAAAATTATCAGGTGACGTTTACTTGATTTTAAATGAAGATACAGGATTTACTGAAGACAGAGCCTTGACAGCAATTCAGGGTCTTGTGGAGTCCTTAATTTCCTTGGATCAAGTCATACATTTTGTGGGGCAAGAAGTGCAAGGACTATCATGGCCTGATGTTTTAACATTTCGTGTATCATGCGTACCTTCTAATGTCATATCATGGATTTGTTCTCAAAGTGCAGCTATCGATCCAGATTTTATGAAAGATCAATCTGGTAATGACGTATCTGATTTAAAGAGTCTGTCAAGAACAGCTCTTAGAAAAGCTCTCTCTTGGAATGCAAGATGTGAAAAAGATTTTTGCATAGCTTTAGATGAGCTTCAAGTACCTAAAACTTTGCAAAATTTTATGCGTTATTTATAACAATAAAACAACTGAAGATAATAAATTAACATAGATCAAAATGAATGTATCTTAAATGTTGTTTATGTTACAAATAATATTTTCACTGTAATTTGAACCTGCTGCTTGTATTAAATACTACATAATAAGGCAATATACTCTGATAGCAAATGAAGCTGTGATATTTTATATTTCTATACAATGACCGCTGATGGTTTATTTTATGTAATCTTTTTATGGTCCTCTTCATTGAACAAACATAAGTTCACATTTATAATTTATAACTCCTCCATACATTACAATGCACTTCAGGCCAAGCATGAATGAAGCAAACAAAAACAACCATTCATCATTTGCTTAATGATTTTATATCTTTACTTTTATCACAACATGATTCATATATTACATTTATTGCGCAGATCAGGCTATCAAATTGCTTGTTTATTATTGCTTTTGGGACCGTTCTTGATATTTATTGTCTTGTTAACTTTCCGTAGGGCAAGTTATAGTAATCGCAAAAAAATCGTTAATGAAAATTTACGAAAATACCTTAGAAAAAATGGATGTATGTGTGTGTGTGTGTGTGTGTGCGCGTGTATGCATGTGTGTGCGGATACAAATTTTCGTCGACTATTTCGGGAACACGGATGAAGCAATTTGAATAATTCAAAAAACTTTCGATTCGTATTGATAAGGAGACGTGCTGATTAGTTTTTGGCGGTTGCAGGTCTAGCCGTTCCGAAGATACGGGGCAAAAAGTGCCAAAAACGGTAACTCAGTTTTTAAGAGAACGGAGCGTCCGATTTTAATAATTCAAAAAACATTTTACTTGTATTAACAAGATGAAGAACTGATCAAATTTTCATGAATGCAGGTCTAGCGGTTTCGGAGATCTAATGAAAAAATAAAAAAAATGCCATTTGGCGGTCAAAACATGATCATTAAATATATGCACATCAAATTATCAGATATTTTATAGAGATTTTAACAATAATTCCTATGGGTTTCGTACCAATGTTTATCCGTTATCCGCCGACGCGGCGCTTAGGCGCTTTGACATATCGTCTCTATGCAGTTAAAGCAGTACGATTGCTTTGAAAAAAAGTTCAGAATTTTCAAAATAAGTCAAAATAAAGAAAACATGTTTTTTTCAAAAAAAGTAATTTTTTGTCAAATTTATATATAAATAAAACTATAGTTTCTCAAAAATCTAATTTCTTCGAAGTAATTTTTTTTCAAAAATGTTAATCGTTTTTAAAAAAATAATAATGTTTGTTACGGGAAGTTCCAGCAATTTGCCTTAAGGCACGATGCCATGCGCCCCCTAGTTTATATAGTTACTCATATCTCTATTAAAATCTTATTCCCTTTTCTGAACTTAAGTACATAAATAACAACACATAACCCGTAGGTGCTATTGTCAGTATATATTTGTTTCAGATTAATTATTATCTTATCTTATGGGGAACATTATTACCAGTAAAATATTTGTTAATATATTTATTTAATAGATAATATTTTAATATAATCATATAAAATCGAATTGTGAATGTATAAATATAAAATATCAATTTTAATCAAAATAAATAAAATTGACGTCAACTCTTAAAAATTGTATTTATATATTAATTAATAGTGCATTTATATTATATTATATTATATTATATTATATTATATATATATGTATATTTATACTAGCTGACCCGACAGACGTTGTTCTGTATCCACATCTACATTTTTTTAATATTTTATACTAATATTTACACCATTCATTTAAAAATGAGTGACGTTAAATGTAGAACTGCTTCAAATAAAATTATGATTCTCAATTCCCACAGTTACACTTTAATTATTCCTTTAACAAATATTAAAATATGTTCAATAAAATTGTATATTAAAAATTATACACTGCAATTAATAGAACAAATTTATTTCTAATAGATGTAGATGTGGATGTATAAATGAATGATTTTTTGTTTATTTTCGACTAAAACATTAATTTTCCAAATTTATCACACAAAAAATCGTCTGCCTTTGTGATTTATAGCATAAGATATACATATTGGTAATTGAAGTCTTTTAAAAGGTATAACACAGGAGTCGGCAAGCTTTTAACTGTAGTGTGCCAAGCCACTCTACCAATATGATTTAGAGTGCCACCTTAATTTTGAAATATATAGTTACGTTCTAGGGGAGAAGAATTATAACCAAATTTTTATTTTAAACATATTTATTAACAAATAACATGAATTTCTAATATAAACAGTGCTAGATTACCCCATAGGCCTGTTAGGCCCGGGCCTAGGACAGCATAATTTAGGGGGTGGCAAATTTTTCAAAATGTAAAAATTTTAAAGTCGATGAAATGACACGACAATTCATTTTAAGGCATTTTTTTGTAAATTTAGAGATTATTTTCGATGAAATAGAACGTAATGCGTTTTCTAATCAAATTTATTATTCGTGGGTGCCGCATTGATATTTTCTTGATGTATCATAATTAATATAATAATTATCAAACTGATAAGATTTTTTGAAGAAACATTGAAAGACTGTTTGTTTTTTGTAATTTTGTTCAGGTGAATCTTATAATTAAAACGCTTTAAAAACTGTTCGATTGTTTCTAGTTTTATTTTCGGTATTAAATCAAACAATGGCGAATTAACATAATATATTCATTGTTGTTAATTAATTTATGTCATTTTTTTTGTATGTGAAAATATATTTTTTAAATATGCCTCTAGGATAAAATTGAATCTTAAATTAAAATATCTGACAATTTGGTGTGCTTCCTACAATTGGCTTTTTTTTTCAACTTCAGGAAGGCTAAGTTATAATAATCCTAAAAAATCGTAAATAAAATTGTTTAAAAATTTTGCGAGAGCATGGTCAGCGTTTTTGGTGATCCAAAAAGGTGTCATTTGGTGATAAAAAATGATCATTGACATCAAATTATTAGATTTTTTTATAAAAAAATTATTATTACAAATTTTGCCTTCATTATTTTGAATCATTCCGTACCAAGATTTTTAATTTTCAAAGTTTACTTCTTAGATAGTTTAAATGTCCTTTGCAAGGATCAATCGCCATGAATGATTCAAAAAATATTCACTTGGCTTTGACTGACAAGGGCAACCATCAGGTTTATTCTTCTGGGATTTTGATGAAACTTCGCATGGAGCTGGTTGTCAAACCGAATACCTTTAAATATTAGAGTCCTATGAGAAGCGGTTTAATTAAAAACATTAAATAAAAATTGATCAAAACTGCGAAAAACGCGCTAGGCCCTATATCTATATATCTATAGCCGAGTAGTTTGCAGCGCTTACTCTCAACTTTTTGTTCGAGTCCTAGGCTCATATACGCCAGTTCGAATCCCGCCAGAATATTTTTTTTTTAATTTTACATCTATTTGGTTAAATATTATAATAATAATTATTAATTTGTTACATATACTACACAAATATGGGAAATTTATAAATAGTAGATATTTATGAAAGCATTCTGAAAATAAATATATTTGCATTGCATATTGATAAAATAAAATAAAACATTTTTTTATAAGTGATATGTATTTAAAATAATCTATTAAAATATCAAACATAAATAAATAATAATATAAAATAAAATAAAATAAAAACTTCAAGGCTTACAATTTGCTGGATGATATTTAGTATAAAATCATTAAAAACATTCATTAAAATTAATCATTAAAAACATAAAAATATATTGCAGTGAGCACACTTTGAAAATGCTGCTGTGTTACATAGACATTTGGCACATAACAGAGCAGCAAGTGAGAGGCATACTGTTTATGCCAAAGGCAGGTTTAGCATTTTTGGAGATACAGAGTGCAGAAGGTGCAAAAGTGGTCATGAAGGTTTTGAGAGTACAGATCATCCGATTGAAATGACTCAAAAAATATTTTGTTCGTGGTATTTTAGTGATATGAACAAATGATTAGTTTTCCGAAAAGGCATGTCCACTGGTTTCAAAATTTTGAGAAAATTAAAATATCTAAAATTTTCAAATAATCGAATTACTTTAGAATTTAAAAAAAAATCGAAATTTTTGAATATCTCGGTTCTATTTATCGAGTTCAGTCCAATGTCTTTTTACTTTGTGAAATCAGTTCAGGCGTTTTTGAAAATTAACTTTTGATTTATCACATCACAAAAGCGCCTATTAACACAAATTTTGATTATGAAGTTTTATCAAACTTTGATGAATTTTTAAAATTGTCAAATATTTTGACTCCTAATTGATATCTTTCAGAAATCTTTTTTCAATTTTAAAAATCGGTTTTTAGCTTTATTCCAAAAACGTAATATTTTTGCTTTTTTATGCTAATTTCAAACAATTGGCTCGGCCGATCGTCCCGCAAACCTAATCAGTCCGGCAGGTTTTTACCAAAAACTAATGAATGCGATTTCCAACCAAGATTTTTCGAATGGTTTTTGAATTTTTAAAATTGACTTAAAATTGTGGGCTAAAACTTTGACGAATTTTTTCTCTCTTTTACTAATTACAAAAAAAAGCATGGTCGACCGTTAAACCTGCCTTGACAAAAATTTAGGTAATTATTCATTCCTTCAGTACAAGTAAATTTTTATTTGAATTATTCGGAAACCAGCCTCTCGGTTCTTTCAAAAACTGAATTGCAATTTTTGCACTTTTGTTCTGTATTTTCCAAACTGCTAAACCTGTCTTAGCCAAAAACTAATCAGAACTTTCTTATCTATGAGAATAAAGCATACATACATACACACACATCAATTTTTTTAAGGTATGCCAAAATGTTCAGAAATGTCTGAAACGTAAAAATATGCAAAAAATTTTATTTTCGATCTTTTTCGATTAGTATAACTTACGAGTACTTTACGAAAAGTTAAAAGCTGTATTTAAGTAATTTAGAATAAAATTATAGTTTAATTAAAAAAGTAAAAAATTGTCTATTAACAAGATCAGATAGGGCCTAGGGCGGCAGAAAGCTTAATCCGCCACTGAATATAAACTAAACAACTATAATGCGAACCTTGTGTCTGCACATTTTTCCTTAACATTTCAATATCCGGGGTATAATTTGTAACTTTTAATTTCACACAAGATTCTGAATGTTTAGTTGTTAAACGATTTCTTGGTGAACTCAAAATATGTTT